CTATTGTATGACAGTTGACACTCACAACATTTCGCCCAAAGAAATGTTATCTTGAGGGAGTTCTCAGGCGAAACATTGCTACTATAAAGGCTCACGATGTTTACTTAATCCTTCGTTCACTGTCCTTCAGTTCGTTGCATCTTCAACCCCTTCCCCCCTCCCTTTTACCACCAAAGAAATGGAAACGAGCGTTACCCATAGATTTTTTTATTAGCCCAGTAATATGATAAAATGAGACAAGTTATTCAGGGCACTAAATTAACACACACATGTCACTGGTACAACTTACCCACACGGGAACAGTTAAGCAAAACAGTCGATGTATATCTCGCTTTACACCGAAGCCCTCTTTAGTACATTCATTAATTTCATTTAATAACATGTAGCTATTAATTAAGCAGTGCTTCTTCTTCTTCTTCTTCTTCTTCTTCTTCTTCTTCTTCTTCTTCTTCCCCCTGTTTCCTGCCTAATGGTCATTTGGCCAGCTCTTCCTTTCTCTTTCCAGTTGTGACTTGACAACGTTCCAGAAAGACCGAAACGTCGTCACAAGGTTTCTCTCCTAAGTACAGGATTGTTCCAGCCATGGTACTGTAACCTTCTTTTATCCTTGAACTCACAGCAATATATAAAAATATTTAATTACAACATTTTTATCATTTACTTGACAGTTCTGAGAAAGGACAATAAGGAAAATTAATCTGTCATGGTACACGTACCTGGTCAGTTAAATTTTACCAGGATAACGTTCTGTTTATCTGTTTACCCAGTCTAATGGTATAATTCAATTTTATTCTACATGACATGTATAACGACTGTTCTGTAAACTTCTATCTATTGTTTTCTTATACAGAATGGTATTAGTATTCCTTTTATGCCAGATCTGGTACTTTACAGTTTTTTATAAGCAACGTTGCAAGGTTATTAAGTACAATGTGCAGCCAATGTTATGTACTTCTTTATTCTGTGATTATCTTGTCATGACAACTTTATGCGAAATGTGTATTGGCAAGACATTTTCACTTTTACAGTTTGCTGAAGAAGAGTTCTGAGAAGTACCTGAAGCGCATACATGGTCTTTTATTTTACTGTCCCAGTGGACTAATTAGTTCCTGTTATGTATAAATCTGTTATTTTGCTAATACATAATGTAAACGGAGTTATGAATGTATTCGGTATCCTTTGACTGGTAGCAAGTAATAACGGTAATGTAGGTGCAAGATTAATGGTGTAAGGTTGTTTACATGTTATAGTTGGTAAACTGAGTGTATTTATTGTAGTAGTGTAGTATTCACATTTAGTGGTGAACTTTACTTTCAATGGTATAACTGGTAGTCGTAAATTATTGTAGTTTGTGGTAAATATTATTGATAAGACTGTAATGGGTATGTAATGGCTGTGTGGTCTCATGTGATAAACTTGGAACATGTCAGTGAATGTTATTACTTGCTATACGGTTGTAAGACTGGTACTTGTTTAATGACGACTGGTCACTGTAGATTAGTTAAGACTGTAAAGTGGTAAGGACTTTAGTGGCATATACTGGGAATCAAACTGGTTAGTGCAGGGATAATGTTGGTACGGTAGTAAGTTGTTCTTGGTAAAGTGGTAGTATAGGCTTGGTAGTTGGTAAGACTTATGGTAGTTGCTTAGTACATGGTTAGTGGTAAGCATGGTAGTGGTAGTGGTAAGACTGGTGTGGTAAAGAGAAGTAAGACGTAGGTACCTGGTAGTGTAAGGTGGTAGTGTAAGCTGGTAGTGTAGTGGTAAGATGTACTGGTAGTGTAAGACTGGAAGTGTAAGACTGGTAGTGGTAGCTGATAGTGGTGTTAAGGATGTATGAGTGTAGATGTATGAACGGTATGGTAAGACTGGTAGTGGTAAGACTGGTATGGATGTAACTGGTATGGTAGAACTGAGTATGGTAGTGGTAAGACTGGTATTTGTAGTGGTAAGACTGGTAGGTAGTGATAAGTGGTAGTGGTAGTGTAAGACTGGTATTGTGGACTAGTGTAAGACTGGAGTGGTAAGACTGGTATGGTAAGACTGGTAGTGGTAAGACTGGTAGTGGTAAGCTGGTTAGTGGTAAGACTGGTAGTGGTAAGACTGGTAGTTTGGTAAGACTGGTAGTGGTAAGACTGTAGTGGTATGGTAAGATGTAGTGCTGTAGAGTGGTAGTGGTAAGACTGGTAGTGGTAGTGTAAGACTGGTAGTGGTAAACTGGTAGTGGTAAGATTGTAGTGTAGTGGTAGTACTGGTAGTGGTAGGATAAGGCTGGTAGCTGGTTGATAAGACTGGTAGTGGTAATGTAACTGTAGTGGTAAGACTGTAGTGGTAAGAAGGATGGTAGTAAAGTGGAAGACTGTAGGGTAAGACTGGTAGTGGAGATGGTGTGGTAAGACTGTAGTGTAGTGGTAGTGGTAAGCTGGTAGTGGTAGGTGGTAAGACTGTATAGGTAAGTAGGATAAGACTGGTAGGGTAGAGTATGGTAGTGGTAAGACTGGTAGTGGTAAGAACATGGTAGTGGTGTAAGACTGGTAGTGAAGTAGTGGTAAGACTGGTAGTGGTAGTGGTAAGACTGGTAGTGGTAAGACTGGTAGTGGTAAGGTAGACTGGTAGTGGTAACTGATGGTAAGGCTGGTAGTGGTAAGACTGGTAGTAGTAGTGGTAAGACTGGTAGTGGTAGTGGTAAGACTGGTAGGTAGCTGGTAGTGGTAAGGCTGGTGTAGATGGTAGATGGTAGTGGTAAGACTGGTAGTGGTAAGCTGAGTTAGTGTAAGACTGGTAGTGGTTGGTAAGACTGTAGTGGTAGTGGTAAGATGGTAGTGCAGTGGTAAGACTGGTAGTGGTAGACTGGTGTAGTGGTAAGACTGGTAGTGGTAGTGATAAGCTGGTAGTGGTAAGACTGGTAGTGGTAAGATGTAGTTGTAAGACTGGGTAGTGGTAGTGGTATGGTACTGGTAGTGGTAGTGATAAGGCTGGTAGTGGTAGTGGTAAGACTGGTAGTGGTAATGGTAAGACTAGTAGTGGAAGACTAGGTGGTGTAAGACTGGTAGTGGTAAGACTGGTAGTGTAGTGATTAAGACTTAGTGGTAGTGGTAGTGTAAGACTGGTAGTGGTAGAGACTGGTAGTGGTAAGACTGGATGTATGTAAGTGGTATGTGGTAAGACTGGTAGTGGTAGTGTAAGGAGGTAGTGGTAGTGGTAAGACTGTAGTGGTAGGTAAGACTAGTAGTGGGAAGACTGAGTGTGTAGACTGGTAGTGGTAAGACTGGTAGTGTAGTGGTAAGACTGGTAGGTGTGTAAGCTGGTAGTGGTAGTGGTAATAAGACTGGTAGTGGTTAGTGGTAAGAGTGGTAGAATGGTAAGACTGGTAGTGGTATGGTAAGACTGTAGTGGAGACTGAGAGTGGATAGACTGGTAGTGGTAAGACTGGTAGTGGTAAGGACTGGTAGTGGTAGTGGTAAGACTGGTAGTGGTAGTGTGTAAGACTTGTAGTGGTGTGGTAAGACTGGTAGTGGTAAGACTGGTAGTGGTAAGACTGGTAGTGGTAAGATGGTAGTGGTAAGACTGGTAGTGGTAAGACTGGTAGTGAGATGTAGTGGTAAGACTGGTAGTGGTAAGTGTGTAAGACTGAGGGTAGTGGTAAGACTGGTAGTGGTAAGACTGGTAGTGGTAAGACTGGTAGTGGTAAGACTGGTAGTGGTAAGACTGGTAGTGGTAGTGGTAAGACTGGTAGTGAATGGTAAGACTGGTAGTGGTAAGACTGGGTGGTAGTGGAATAGTGGTAAGACTGGTAGTGGTAAGACTGGTAGTGGTAAGAGGTGGTAAGACTGGTAGTGGTAAGACTGGTAGTAGGTAAGACTGGTAGTGGTAAGAACTGAGTAAGTAGTGGTAAGACTGGTAGTGGTAAGACTGGTAAGTGGTAGATGTAGTGTAAGACTGGAAGTGGTAAGACTGGTAGTGGTAAGACTGGTAGTGGTAAGACTGGTAGTGGTAAGACTGGCAGTGGTAAGACTGGCAGTGGTAAGAACTGGTAGTGGTAAGACTGGTAGTGGTAAGACTGGTAGTGGTAAGACTGGTAGTGGTAAGACTGGTAGTGGTAAGACTGGCAGTGGTAAGACTGGTAGTGGTAAGACTGGTAGTGGTAAAGATGGTAGACTGGGTGTAATGGTAAGACTGGTAGTGGTAGTGGTAAGACTGGTAGTGGTAAGACTGGTAGTGGTAAGACTGGTAGTGGTAAGGCTGGTAGTGGTAGTGGTAAGACTGGTAGTGGTAGTGGTAAGACTGGCAGTGGTAGTGGTAAGACTGGTAGTGGTAAGACTGGTAGTGATAAGACTGGTAGTGGTAAGGCTGGTAGTGGTAGTGGTAAGACTGGTAGTGGTAAGACTGGCAGTGGTAAGACTGGTAGTGGTAAGACTGGTAGTGGTAAGACTGGTAGTGGTAGTGGTAAGACTGGTCGTGGTAAGACTGGTAGTGGTAGTGGTAAGACTGGTAGTGGTAAGACTGGTAGTGGTAAGACTGGTCGTGGTAAGACTGGTCGTGGTAAGACTGGTCGTGGTAAGACTGGTAGTGGTAAGACTGGTAGTGGTAAGACTGGTAGTGGTAAGACTGGTAGTGGTAAGACTAGTAGTGGTAAGACTGGTAGTGGTAAGACTGGTCGTGGTAGTAGAAATAGTGGTAGTCACAATATTGTGCCCTTCTGTTCTTTATTCTCTTGTGTTGACTTAGTTCCATGAATGACTTGTCTGAAATTATCAATTATTATTATTATTTTATTATTATTATTATTATTAGAAGTAATATTCAAGCCCAATAGGGGCCATATTGCATGTTGGGAAGGGAAATTAAACGTGTTTAATTCGAAAAAGAGGAGGGAAGTTCGAATTCCTGGAATCAAGAGCCCCTTACCACCACCACCTTCCTCTTAAAAGGGCTTTATTACGTTAGCTTTAAGTTGAGTGCTGTGGTACACGCTAAGTTTAGCTTCTCTGGTATTTCAGATACGACCGTGGAGGACTCGCCTGCAGAGGCCGCAGAGAGTGACGAAGGTAAGCTAGAGAGAGAGAAAGAGCGAGAGGAGAGAGAGAGAGAAAGCTGATGGGAAAGGCTCAGAGGCAGTAAATCAAAGATGCATAGAGCAAAACTTTCTAAAAATGACATTTCGCTTAGCGAGGGCTTTATAAAGCGCTCCTTACAGCTCTCGGTGTTCGAAACGTAGCTTTCAGTGAAGTCAGTCTCTTACTAAGGTATGCTACTATTGTTTAGTCCCACCTTAATAGTCAGTTACATCCATGTCAGCCCTCCCTTCACCACCTGGACTCCCACACAACAGTCAGTGGAACTGGCATGAAGAGAGAATAAGAAGACCGCATCATCCGCTAATAGAATTCCCAAAATACGACAGTATCGGCGAATAAAACGCTTGAAATAGGATACCATATGCTAATGGAAAGATCACAGCATCTGCGAATGAGATCAACACAACATCCGTTAACAGAACTCATAATTCGGACAGCATCAGCGAATAGACGCTGACAAGCGCACAACAACTTGTACCCTGGATCACTTAGCAATAAGTAGGTACCTACTTTTTCCTGTGATCTGAGAGGATTTGAATGAGGATAACAGTATGAAAGTGACATGAAAAAATAGTCCTTTTCTAAACTATAGGCGAATACAAGACTCTAAGGGCACCTTCCTCCTCTACTCTGCACAGCATAAGTGAATATGGTCCAGAGAGGGTTCAACATTCGCGAAGAAAAGACAGAAAAGGGGACAAAATATACGCAAATAGAAACCTGAAAGTGATCAGCTTGAGGAAGTAAAAGTCACATAGCGCTCAGCATCTTTGAATATAAGCCACAAAAAACACAGCATCCGCAAATAGAAGCTACGAAACAGGAGAGTGTCTGTGGGTAGAATTCACAAAACGCTCAGTATTCCCCGAATAGAATTCACAAAGTGCACAGCATTCGCGAAAATGTACCTAAAAAAAGTGCTCAGCATCCGTATACGGCAGCCCCAAAGCGCAAGCCTCAGCGAATGGAAGTCACAGAGGACCCAGCATCCGCGAAGAGAAGCTCCCAAAGCGTATACATCCGTAGATGTCAAAACAGAAGCGACATGTCTGGCATCAGACTCACAGATCGTGTCTGCTGAATGTCTCCAGCTGCAGCCTCTAAACGAAGGTATAAACACGGTAGACAGAGAGGGCACGTGCCAGGGAGAGCGTGAAGGAGGGAGGGAGCGGTATGAGGGAGGGAAGGAGCGGATGAGGCAGGGAAGGAGAGGATGAGGGACGGAGGGAGAGGATGAGGGTCGGAGGGAGAGGATGAGGGAGGGAGAGGGTGCTCTTCAACAAGCAGTGGTTCCCTCCACGAGTGCTTCACATTAACGCTGGAATGAATAGCAGTCTAACTCCTCTGATCTCCACCGCTCCAAGATGATGTACCCTTTAAAGCTGCCTAGATATTAGTGAAGGGTTCTTGATCCGAAGAATTGGAGTAACCTTTTTCTTTGGACCAAACGTGATTATCTGCTATATCTCACGTGCTGTATATATATATATATATATATATATAATATATGTCGTGCCGAATAGGCAGAACTTGCGATCTTGGCTTAAATAGCAACGTTCATCTTGCCATATAGGACAAGTAAAAATTTGTGTATGCAATAATTTCGCCAAAATCATTCTGAACCTAACGAAAAAAATATATTTGATTGTGTTTGTTTAGTACTAAATTATTGTAAATGTATTTTAAATATATTTAGTTGGGTTCTGCTAAAATAAATTGCTCTTGTTAAAATAAGGTTAGGTAAGTTTTCTAAGATTCTTTTGGTACAAAATTAAAAAATTTTACATTAACATTAATGAAAAAATATATCTTTAAACGTATAAGAGAAAATTTCAGAGAGGACTTAATTTTAAGTGAGTTCTTGCTAACTGACCAGTTTTGCATATTCGGCACGACATATATATTATATATATATATATATATATATATATATATATATAATATATATATATATATATATATGCAAAACAACCACTCTGAAAGAATAGAGAAATTCCAAGCGCTTTCGTGACTACTCACGAAAGCGCTTGGAATTTCTCTATTCTTTCAGAGTGGTTGTTTTGCATATTCTGATATCACCTGTTTACTGTGATCTTATTGCATATATATATATATATATATATATATATATATATATATATATATATATATATATATATATATATATATATATATATATATTATATATATATATGCAAGGAATTCGCAAGAGCAGGCGAAATATACACAAACACTGATCTCTGGCTGAGATCAGTGTTTATATATATATATATATATATATATATATATATATATATATATATATATATATATATATATATATATATTGTATATGTCGTGCCGAATAGGCAGAACTTGCGATCCTAAAATTTGTGTATGCAATAATTTCGCCAAAATCATTCTGAACCTAACGAGAAAAATATATTTCACTGTGTTTAGTATTAAATTATTGTAAACAAATCTAAAATATATTTAGTTGGGTTAGGCTAAAATAAATTGCGCTTGTTATAATAAGGTTAGGTAAGTTTTCTAAGTTCCTTTTGGTGCAAAATTATAAATTTTTACATCAACATTAATGAAAAAAATCTATCTTTAAACGTATAAGAGAAAATTTTAGAAAGAACTTAATTTTAAATGAGCCCTTTCTAATTGACCAGTTTTACATATTCGGCACGACATATTTTATATAATATATATATATATATATATATATATATATATATATATATATATATATATATATATATATATATATATATCATTAACAGAACTGGTGCCTGGCCAGGACTCGATCCTGCGTTTCCTTGCCCAGTCCTGTGTGGACTGACCAAAGTAAGCATCACTACCATCATTAGATCACCATGCTTCAACACCAGACGCCCAGCAGTACTGAGCGTGTTATTCCTGACGCAAGGACATTCATGGTCATGGAGCCTCATAGACTAATTTCAACCTCATCCTGCTTGGTGTGTAATTGTTTCACGTTAGTGGACGGAGGATCGAGCCTCCACCGTCACCCACACTGAATCACCTTACACATTTTTAAACATTATTACGTTCCTGTAACCAGTTTCGTGAGCATTTTTTTTTTTCTGTTGTCGCCGACCCACCTGACGTCAGGATGCCTAGTAGTTACATGGTTAACCAGGCTGTTGGTGTCGGTACCTAGCATGCCCACCACCCACCCACCTAACGAGCAACCTGCTTCGTCAACATCTTACACAACGCCACTCTGAAAATTGCCTACTTACATTTTAACATTATTAAAAATAATGATAATGATTAATTTTTTTTATCATTATATACCTATTACTATTATACTACTATCACTACTACTATTATACTATCATTACTACTATTATACTGTCACTACTACTATTATACTATTACTATTATACTATCACTATTATACTATTACTACTACTATTATACTATTACTACTACTATTATACTACTATTACTACTGCTATTATACTGTTGCTACAGTTATACTATTACTACTAATATACTATTATTATACTACTGTGTTACCATTATTGCTACTACCACTACTACTACTAATAACAATAATTATAATAATTCTGTAATAGCAGATAAGTGATAACCATTCTCATTGCAATTTATCTTGCAGTATAAGCGTGTGAGGGGGTAATAGGGGAAGTAGGAGAGGGGGTGATTGGGATGGAGGATGTGGGGTAGGGGTAATGGGGAGGAGAGGCTGGTAGGGAGGGGGGTGGCAACATAATTGCCACGGACCAGAGGAGCATCCCTGCCAGGGAGCTGAGATGACATCTCGGCTCCCTCCTAGTGCTGACCCACCAGCATCCCTGACCACCCTTTGTGTCCTCTCAGTTTCTCTCTCTCTCTCTCTCTCTTTCCCTCTTTGTTCTCATTCCTGGGTTCCTTTCATTTTCCTCTTCTAGTCTCGTGCGTTATTACACATCTCCCATTTCTTTTTAAGTTTCAATTCCTCCCTTTTTCTATACTATTCTTTCCTTTCTTCTAATTCTTCCTTCCCATTCTTCTTTTGTGTTCTACCCTTCTATTCATTATCACCATTCTTCTCTCTGCAATATTCCAACAATCTTGTAACTGGTTCAGCCTAAATAACTTAACATTGTTTTCGTTAAACACAAACATTCAATGTCAGTGTTTAATATCATTACTTGAGACCAATATTTAGAAGAAAATGTTTAATGATAGCTTGGCAAAATATATCTGTCAAGAAAATGTAATATTATCCGGTGAAATGACAGTTATTTCATCTTAAAATGTAAAGAAAATATTGCAGAGTTTGTCTTCGTATCCACTCCTTCCATCCACGTATCTTCCATCCTTGTATCCACTTCTTGTATCCACTCCTTGTATCCACTACTTCCATCCACGTATCTTCCATCCTTGTATCCACTTCTTGTATCCACTCCTTGTATCAACTCCTTCCATCCACGTATCTTCCATCCTCGTATCCACTCCATATACCCACTCCTTGTATCAACTCCTTCAATCCACGTATCTTCCATCTTTGTATACACTCCCTCAGTCCACTGTTAATAAACGTATCTTCCTCTTATCTTCGTGATCAATCCATATGAATCTCTTCTGTTTTATTCGTTTAAGTAAACTTTTCGTGACAGGGTAAACATAAATTTCTCTTCTTTATATTAATTTATTCAGTCTTAGCGCTATTCTTCCTTTATCTCAAATTCTCAGATTATCTTAAATTATTTAATAGTGGACTGTAAATTCCAGCATTCACGTTCGGCTAACCGGAAAACCGGTAAGGTTGGCTTGAGTCCTGCAGGAAGGTAGGACAGTGCCTGTATTCTGAAGAACGGGGTGAAGATGTTACAGTCTGGAGGCCATCTTAACTGTGATGTCAGCACACGTCCGGTAGTATTGCGGTTGAATGAATGATGGTAAATATATTTCCTTTTATTTTTGGGGGGTTATCCTGCGTCGGTGTGAGACAG